GAGGGGAGGGGAGGGGGAGGGCCCATACCGAGGTCCAGTCGGTGCGGATCTGCCACTCACTGCAGATCTTGAGCTGGCAGGTGCTGGTGGTCTCGGGCTTCTCCAGGTGCTGGCAGCGGTAGGGCTGCACCGTGAGGCTGCGGTTCGCGTACACCTGGCGGCACAGGACCTGCCGGTGCTGCATACCCAGCCCGCAGGTCTTGCTGCACTCGGACCACTCCCCGATGTCCCAGCTGGCTCAGGAGGGGCGAGAGGGAGACAGAGGCTCTGGTTATCGGGGGTGGACGCCGAGCCCACCCCCATGGGTGCCTGAGCCCACGGGTGGGGGTCCTCCTAGCGCGTCGCTGGCGCCTGCCTAGCGGTCACAGGATGGGGGAAGGAGGTGGCCGTGTTTCACACACGATCTACCAGCGATGGGGCCACCTTCCGCACACGGGCATGGAAAATGGAGAAGGTGCACACGACTTCCACCTAGTAAGCAAACCTGAGAATCCCTGCACTGCCAAGGCTGGTTTACTCCCTGTGGAACATGAACCCATTCGGGAATTCAGCATTCTTTACATTTCATTGTTTCCACGCACACCCCGCACTCTCCCTTCCACCAGCTACTCTCATTCATTACTTGCTTTGTTTTGAGACAGGCTCTGGCTATGTTGCCCAGGCTGGCTTTGAACTTGAGGAGATCCTCCTGCCTCAGCTTCCCAAGTGCTAAGATGACAGGCATGGGCCACCACGCCAGGCTTCTTATTAATTACTTAGATGAGGCAGCAGCATGTGCTCACTCTGTATCCAGATGGGAATTAATTATGTTTTGGCCTGTTAGGGTCTTTCCTGCTGTTCTTCCAAAGGTGCCCTGTGTATCACTCAACCACAGCCAGAGCCAGTTCCCAACATTCCCTGTTCCCCCCAGGTGACCTGTCACACGCTGGTTCTGCACTCAGCACCCCTGCCACCCTGCCCTTCCTCTTCCGCTTCCCCCCCAGGTGAAACCCTGCCTGGACCTGGATCCCCATGGACTGGCACTATGCACTGCTTGGGTGAAGGCTGTGGGCTCAGAGCCCTGCCCCAAAGACAGGCTGCTCCGGGGCTGCGTCCTATACTGGGGTCCACATCTGCTGCCTCTAATCAGAGAGCGACTGATGGAAAACACGGCCCTATCTGCTCCTCAGGGCTCAGGCCAGCCGCCCCGTGCCCACCCCGCAGCCTAGATGCAGCCACCGCTCTTACAAGGCCGGGCAGGGGAAGAGGTTGCAGGGCTCCTCCTCGGGGGTCGGCTTCATGCTGGGGTCGCAGTAGCTCTCGGGAACCTCTTCGTGGGTGCTTCTGTGCACACAGCGGAAAATCGGGTACTGTGAGCCTGAAAGACACGGCCCGAGGGCCTGAAGTCACCCTGCCCTCGAGACAGTGAGCCGCTACCGTGCAGATGCGCAGGCACGCGGGGCGGGAAGGGAGGCCTGGGACCAGCCAGGACGGCTGTCCCTCCCTCCCCCTCCAGCTCTGTCCACCGGAACCCCCGGCGGCTAGCAGAGAGGCAGGCGTCTAGTACACGTTTGTTAAATGAGTATTTATCAGAGGTATAATACTTATGTTTAGTACTTTGCTTAAAAAAAAACCCTAACTGCCACAGGTTTTTTATTTCAATGCATTACCTAGTTCTGTCGGTGTAATAAGGATAAAATGATTGTAGATAAAAAGCCAGAATTTGTGAAGTGAAATTTCTAGCTCTGTAGTTTGCCTGTCTGTCTCTGCCGCCATCTGCTGGTAAGACTACAGCACTGCTAACAAACGTTTAGGAAGTGAGAAAAGGGGCTGGGGATTTAGCTCAGTGGCAAAGCGCCTGCCTGGCAAGCGCAAGGTCGTGAGTTCGGTTCCCGGTACCGGAGAAAAACCAAAAAAAA